TAAATAGATGCCCTCCACCCAAGGGTGTTGAGGGAGGTGGCAGGAGCCCTTGGCCTGGCTGTATGAGCATTCGTGGTCATCTGGCCAGGTGCTGGGGGATTGGAAACTAGCTAATGTGGTCCCCATTTTTAAGAAAGGGAGGAAGGAGGACCCAAGTAACTATAGGATCATAAGCCTCACCTCAGTCCTCAGGAAGATCTTGGAGAAAATCATCAAGGAGCACATCTGTGGAGGACCAGCAAGAGAGATCAAGCTCAGGGGCAACCAGCATGGGTTCATCAAAGGCAGGTCCTGCCTGACCCACCTGATTGCCTTTTATGACCAGGTAACTAAATCCTTGGATGATGGTGTCACCATGGACATAGTCTTTCTAGACTTTAAGAAGGCCTTTGACACTGTCTCTCACCCCATCCTCATCAATAAATTAAGCAACTGTGGCATTGATGCCTACAGTTGGATGGGTAGAAAACTGGCTGATGGGGCGCACCCAAAGAGTAGTGGTGGATGGGCAGTACTCAGCCTGGTGAGATGTGAGCAGTGGGGTCTCCCAGAGCTCAGTCCTCGGGCCTGCACTGTTTAACATCTTTGTCAGCGACTTGGACGAGGGGGTGGAAAGCACATTGTCCAAGTTTGCTGATGACACTAAGATGTGGGGCGAGGTGGACACACTTGAAGGGAGAGAGGCTGCAACTAAATTTAGACAGACTACAAAAGTGGGCAGATGAGAATAGAATGGGGTTCAACATAGATAAATGCAGAGTGCTGCACCTTGGGAGAAGGAATCCACAGCATACATACAGGCTGGGGAGTTCCCCTCTTGAAAGCACAGAGGTGGAAAGGGATCTTGGAGTCATTATTGACTCCAAGATGAACATGAGCTGTCAATGCCAGACTGCAGCCAGCAAGGCCAGCCATACCTTGTCATGCATCCAAAGGTGTATCTCAAGCCAGTCTAGAGAGGTGATACTCCCCCTCTATGCAACAATGGTCAGGCTGCAATTGGAGTACTGCATCCAGTACTGGGTGCTGCATTTTAAAAGGGATGTGGCCAACCTGGAGAGAGTTCAGAGGAGAACCACGCACTTGGTGAGAGGGCAGCAGGACAGGCCCTATGAAGAAAGACTGAGGGACGTGAACCTGTTCAGCCTCGGCAAGAGGAGGCTGAGGGGGGACCTGATGGCTGCCTACAAACTCATCAGGAGAGATCATCAACAAATAGGACAAGCCCCATTCTCCCCAGCACCACCTGGGATGATGAGGAACAATGGTAATAGGCTGATGGAGAATAGGCTTAGGTTAGAGATCAGGAGGCAATATTTTACAGTTAGGGTGGCCTAGGGAAGTGGTCCTCGCCCCTACCTTGGGTAAATTCAAAAAGAGGTTAGATGATCACCTGTCTGGGGTCTTGTGAACCCAGCATTCATTCCTGCCTGTGGCAGGGGGTCAGGCTAGATGATACATTCAGGTCCCTACTATGAAACTATGAAATACATATGGAGCACTGGGTAACATGGGGCCCTGGCAAGATATGCTAGGCAATCTGGTGGTTGCACCAGAGGAAAAGGCAGACCTTTTTAACAATTTCTTTGCCTCCATTTTTTTGGGCAGGAACCAGGACTCCCCCTCTGAGATTCAGGATGGACTCAGGAGAGACTCTGACAAGCCTAGGGTTGGAAAGGACCAAGTTAGAGAACTTCTGGAGGGACTGGATGTGTTCAAATCAGCAGGTCCAGATGCTCTCCACCCCACGGTGCTGAGGGAATTGGAGGGGATTACCAAGGGCCCCGGGATTGCTTTACGAGCACTTGTGGTGCTCTGGCCAGGTGCCAGATGACTGGAAGAGGGCAAATGTGGTCCCCATTTTCAAAAAAGGGAGGGAGGAAGACCTGGACAACTATAGGCCTTTTAGTCTTACTTCAATCCTGGGGAAGCTCTTTGAGAAGATTATTCAGGAGCATACCTGGGAAGGACCGGCAGAGGGGACGATGCTCAGGGGCAACTAGAATGGGTTCATTAGGGGCAGGTCCTGTGAGACCAACCTGATTGCCTTCTATGGACACAGGTATCACAGTAGATGTAGTCTTTCTGGACTTCAGGAAGGCCTTTGACACTGTCTCCCACCCCATTCTCATTAAAAAGTTAGGCGACAATGGCATTGATGCCTACAGTCAGATGGGTGGCAAATTGGCTGAGGGACCGCACCCAGAGAGTGGTGGTGGACGGGTCATATTCGACCTGGAGGGATGTGGGCAATGGGGTCTCCCAGGGTTCAGGCCTTGGGCCTGCACTGTTTAATCTCTTTATTAGCGACTTGGACGAGGGGATGAAAAGCACCCAGTTCAATTTCACTGACAACACCAATATCTGGGGCAAGGTGGGCACCCTAGAAGGGAGGGACAGGATACAGCTGGACCTGGACAGGTTACAGGGGTAGGCAAATGAGAACAGGATAGGATTCAATACTGACAAGTGCAGGGTACTGCACTTGGGCAGTAAGATCCAGCAGCATACCTATAGGCTGGGGAACTCCCTTCTCAAAAGCACAGTGGCAGAAAGAGATCTTGGAGTCATTATCGATTCCAAAATGAACATGGGCCGCCAATGTGAGGATGCAGTCAGTAAGGCCAACTGCACCTTGTCATGAATCCACAGATGCATTGCAAGCAGGTCCAAGGAGGTGATCCTCCCCCTCTATGTGACACTGGTCAAACCACAGTTGGAGTACTGCATCCAGTTCTGGGCACCACACTTTAGGAGAGATATGGTAAGCATCGAGAGGGTCCAGAGGAGGGCCACTTGCATGATCTGGGGACAGCAGGGCTGACCCTATGAGGAAGGTCCAAAGAACAGGTCAGTTATTTTTGACACTATTGTAAACGGTGGGCAAAAGTGACCGGGGGGGCCAGATGTGGCCCGCTAGGCCATTCTTTCCGGCTTGCGGGGCCCCTAAAAAAATTTAGAAAATTTAATATTAATCTGCCCTGGGCTGCCTGTCATGCGGCCCTCAATGGCTTGCCAAAACTCAGTAAGCGGCCGTCTGCGGAAAATAATTGCCCGCCCCTACACTATGGGCACATCTACATGAAACAAGAACTATGCAGTAGCCAAATAATACTGCACAGTACCATGTCACAGCACAAACAGTGCTCATATGCTACCGTGCAGTATTATTAGGCTAATGAGCACCCTATGAAATCCAATTTGAAACTGTGTTTAATCTTGTGAATCATATGTAGGTGTTTGCACACCAAACAATGCTAATATTGTGTAGTACAACCATGGCACCCTTTAAAGGATCTTATGGTTGAGAATCATTGTTATAGACTAATATTACCCCTATATTTATCCTTGAGAGTCATCCCATTTATCTGCAGAAGGCTTAGGACAACTTTCAGCAAGACCGTTCATGCTGCTTCACATGCCATGCAATCTCATAATGTATACTGGAGCAGTGCCTATAGGTTCCCCCACTAGGATAAGGACTAGGGGATGCGGAAAGTGAAAGACACTGCTACTGCCTAGCATTTGCTTGGATCACACGACAGCAAGCCAGCACAGCATTTGACTCACAATAATCCCCTACCTTTTGATAAAGTTTCAATCCGTCCCTCAGTGTCTGGCATTTACTTAACAATGTGATGCAATAGTCGCTGGCCAGGTTTTGCCTAATGAAGGGAATGAGCATCACAATCTGTAGTGGACCTGAACTTCCCTGGAGAGCATAACTAGGCCCTCTGCACAGAAGTGACACTTTCCTTCTTGATGATTTATATACAGAAAAAGGCAATCTAATTCATGAGAAGTAAAGAACATTTTTTTAGTGAGAGAAATTGAAAAGAAGACTGTTACATGCAGCTACAACATGCCAGGATCCCAGCATTTTCAAGAAAAAGTTATTCAGTTATTCTTTTATGTCCTTAGCACAAGCTCATGAGAGCCCATTCCCACTGCCTTTACTCCCGTAAGACTTCCAGAGAACCAGATTCAACCTGTAAAGGCCCAATGACTCCTATAAAAATCTGTGGAGCTGCAGGATAGGGACTAAGTAAAATTTTGCTCACTGATTTGAGTTAAAGTTCTGCTGGACTACAGACCACAAGATCAGGCCTTTTGTATCCAACTGTTCTCATTGTTCAGAAGTCACTCTCGCAATAGAACTCAATTTCTACCGATGTTTTTGCTCCTTTTTAAATGCCCCCCAATTGTTGAAAATAACCTCTATTAAAAACTACTCATTTATCATTTGAGAGAGTGATAGAACACAGTAGATGGCAGGAGACAGCAGGGAACCTGCCAGACTTCCTAGCTGAATCCTTACCAACAACTGCTCTGGGATAGCAGCTCCAATACTCCCACACAGCTAGTGAAGAGCAGTAAGGAGCCTATTCCTCAGAGTTCCTCAAAACAGCACCAGTGAAAACAGACTTGAGACTCTCAGCCACAGACTTTGTAAAAGATGTCTGCTCTCAAACCCTTTGTGCTTTAACTCTGAGAGAAACAGGTTGGTCTCCTCCTTGCTCTTGTACCTCAAAATCATCTCTCCTTTCCTTTCTGTCCTCTCCCATATTTTATCCATTGCCCAAAAGGAAAAAAAAAAAAAACCCACTGCACCAACAAAACACATGCCAGCCTTCAAACTGACTGCTCTGTCCAGAAACTGTTATCACAATTCACCACCCTCTTTTTACATGGTAACCATTCTAGAATACAGAAGTCTGTTTTTGTGTTTGCACAGCACAAAATGTTCCCTATTGCAGTAGCAACCAATGGCCCCAAATGCTACTACTAGGTACTTAAAATTATTTTACTTCATTATTTTGAAGAAAAAGCACTAACCACTGTAGCAAATCCATCAATGTGCAACTCCACAGTACAATTCTAACATTTTAAGGCAGCCAGTAAGGACATTTCAAGTAAAAAAAAAATTATTTACAGTTTACAAAATTTATTATTGTTTCTATATACCAGAAAAAAGGGAGTTTGTTTGTTTGTTTTTAAAAAAAAGAGAGATACAGAACTTTCATGTCAGTATAAGCTACAAAATTTAAATCTCTATTTTCATGCAAGTATTTGCCTCTACAGCATATAAACAGATCTGCTCTAACAGCCAGCTCACAGTAAGAACATTAGTACACTTCTTGAAATTAGCTCTGTTCCGAGCATACACGAGACACTGTAAGTTGTATTAAAGCAAACCTACACAACTTTATCTGGAACCCATATGACAAACTTACAAAGTTTAAGAAAGTTATTTCTCTGAGGACTAAAACTCCAATACACATCAGTTATCTTTTCATAGGATCTGTTAGTTTTGGAAACAAAATTGTATCCTCAAAGCTGACAAAAATATTATATATATATATATATATATATGGGGGACCAAGTTCATCTCATGTTATTCCATTTAGTAATATCATATTCATTTGGCCCATGTAATCCAGCACAGTAAAAATTATGCATCTTTTGAACTAAATGAACTATGGAGAATCATCACAAATGCAGTGGGTAAAACAAACTTGTTAAAAGCATTTCATTAGTATAAGAGAAGCAAACTTGATCTTCTTAGGTGCATATTAAAGTTTTCTAACCAAACTTACATAAGTAACATCAGTACAAGAAGCAAACAAGCAAATATAACCATTATAGTGACAAGGTTACCTTATTCAAGCAGATTAATTCTCACTAACTTTTGCAAAATTACTCATTTGGCCTGCTGAATATTCATAATTAACTCTAATTAGCTATTTGAAAATGTTCAGGCTGATAGCTGAAGATTCTTTGTGCATAAGGGTCACTGTCTGTTGGCATTTTCTGTCCCATGTAAGTGTGGTAGCTCTCCTGATGAAAATGCTCACAGTGAAGGTTAATCCAGTCTCTTTCAGTGCTGTATCTCTCTGCTTCAGCAAGGATTCTAGTTAGAGCCATAATGTAACTTAATGCCATCTGAAGGGTCTCGTATTTGGAGAGTTTCTTATCTTGACCCCATTGTGGAACCACTTTTCTCAATCGATCAAAGGCTGTGTTCAGTCCTTGCATTCTTCTTCTTTCCCTGGCATTAGCAGCCAGCCTCCTCTTGGCAGCACTCTCCATCCTTTCAGAACCACATTTCATTATACAGCCTGTTCTACTTTTGCACTGCATATCTGACTCCAAACCAGAATCCACATTATTTGATTTACAGCTCTTCATATTTGAGGCAGCTTTAAATACTGAGAGAAAAAAAAATGTGATAGCTGGAAACTGCTGGAGAAATCACTCAGAATGCAGGCTTTGTACCTTCTGTTTCCAGAAGTCAGTGAGAGTTTATTTTCATGATCTCAAAAAAGAAAGTAACAGTTTTCTAGATGAATTTTACAATAAACTCTCATTTGGTGCAGAAACAAGAAAGCAAGCAACTGCAGTTTGAGATTGCTCTGATGTTCTTTTCATTTCTTTAAATTTGGCAAAGAAAAATGAACTGATGAGATCTCCATTCTGAAAAATTCAAGACAGTCCATTTAATCAAAAAAGATTTAACCGATTAAAAACACATCTATTCCAACAGGATGTCTGCTTTAACCAGCAGGAGAAACCCCAGCTCATTTTAGGACCTGATATTTTATAGTGATAAACTGTTGCACCTGAAGAAGTAAATCTGCAAGAGAAGGAAAGAGTGTTCCTTCTTTGATTACTGCCGGTAGGCAATGATCATATTTTACAGGCAAGAAGAGGCTTTATAGAAGCAGCAGCCAGAGCTGAACAGGTGGTAGCAGGTGGGCGGGCGGCCCTCTGCTTCCATCCCAGTACCTTCACACCCTGGGAACTACACGGAAAAAAACCCAGCAAAACCCTGACATTACAGCCTTCATCTGTTGAAAAGTCTTCCAAAGCCACGTCTGTCCAGCCCTAACAACGTGCCATCTGGAGTAGTGTCTGGCTGGCCCCACAAGAATCACAACAGTTAAGCAAAAGGTCTTTTCAGTGAATAATTTTTGGAGCTCAGCAAAAATCTCTCAAAACATAGCAGTTCACACATTGAGGCAAAAGAAAATGCTTGTTAAAAACTGTTAGGGGTAGGGGAAGTAATTTTACAAGGATATTAGAGAGAGAATTAAGGCTATGTAGAAATACATAATAATACAACTTTGGATAGTATAAATCTCAAGTAGACTGGTAATGTCAGAAAAGGTCTAGGACTCAATTTATTGTTATAACAACAACAATAAAAATATGATGAACATTCTCTAGGGAGTGCAATATTTTAGGTGATACTAGACACACGTAATATATTTAATTTCAATTAAAGTGAATTGCTTGTCTATATTTAAGCTTTAAGATAATTTAATAATATGCAAGAGAAAATTGTGGACTTAATGCAAATTAATTGAAAATATCTGAAGAGATTGTGATATAAATACATACAATTACAAAAACATTTATATGCACATAATTACCCCATAATTTTGCCACTAATGCATGCAGTACACATGTACAGATCCACTATATACATATAATTTATGGCATAGGAAACAAAGTTTACCACATTTTACAAAAGTCTTCAAAAAGTTACAGGAATAAAAGAAGAGCTGAAAACAAGTTAAAATTAACACATTAAAAATAATTTGACTGTGACTGCTGAAAGATAAACTTCTGCAGCTAATAATGGCAGAGCATAAAAAAAACACTGAATGTTGATACTGCTTTTTTGGAGGGGTGGTTGGTTTTATTGCTTTGGTATATCCACAGATTTACAAGAAAATGTATACGATTTTATGACTTCCTTATGAAATTCACAGAAAGACTAAAACTTGTCACGCTATGATTTATTATCTATATTTGATTTCAAGCTTAATGAAATTGGTACCAAGCATTTGTAGATTAGTAAAGTTTTCATTAGGGACGGAATACAGTACATTTGCCTAAAACTACAGATCAATTGTTTCTGTTATGACTCCAAAACCCCACATAGTTGTAAACAGTTGATTAATCCCTAGAAGAAGCAATGACAATGAAATGAGGTTGAATAATCTGAAAACAATAGGATGCAATTGAACATTAATAGACTTCAGCATGACAGATGTTGAACACAGGCTGTTATGCACAGTTGCTTCTACTCTTAATATTCTGAATCCTAAATGATCTTGATCATGGGTGGTGATGATGGTAGCAGAGTCTATATTATTCTATTACCAAAATGTCTGATGTACTTCTTTAAAAATTGAAAGAAGATTTAGTTCACGTTTTATCAGAAGGTCTGACAATCCTCTATGTGCACTGAGGTCAGTGCACTGAGAACAGGTATTCTCCCAACCGTTAAGTTCTCATCACTACATATTAAAATATCACTTTCAAATGACCATTTGTAATTAACTGGTGTTGGTGCTTTTGTCTAAGACACAAATTTGGAAAGGTAAATTCCAGAATGAAGTATCATCATATGTCTTTCCTAAGGGTACTACCAATTAGATTCTAAAAGATGTTCTGCCTCAGTGGATAGTGTTATTGGGAATTATGTATGTGCAACAGCAGAAAAAAAAACCTAGTTTGAAAATTACTACCATTTCAGGCTTCAGCATATATTACATAACCTGAAGATGATTAAGTTACATAATAGTTCTGTTAAAAATGTTTAATAAAAAGGAGGTTTGTGATTCTTATGGGATTTTAACACAAATGAGTACAACAAGTTTTTAAAGTAATAATTATTTGTAAACTAGTAAAATACGGTCTGAATAAATATAAATGCATTCTCATGAGGTACAGTCACTAGTATCTTGAGATAAATTTATTTTAGTGGTAAAATAGTACAGGTATTTTTAGATCAGTAAAGTGGGGAAAATTTCCTTAAATTATTATATGGTAGAATTCCAATTATTTCCATTAGCCAAGCTGAGTAGAACCAGGTTTAAAAAAAAAACAACCCATAATATGTGACCAGTCATGAAGATTTTTTTTGTTAAAAAAAGTGATAAGAAATGTGGAAGTTTTAAACTCTGAAAATTTACCAGAAAAGGCTTACTTTTATATTCAATTCCACTAATGAGCAGAGTTGTGTTGTTGGATTTTCTCCCTTTACTAACAGGCTGATGTATATCACAATTGGGATAATATGCCAGCTTCACCAGGGGAGAGTCAGCTGTGGATTTATAATTATCCCAGACAGAAGATAAATCTTAGCCTTATTAAAATGTGAAAATTCTATAAAAAACACACTATGTCCCTTAGTACCAAAAAATAAATTAAGGAATAGATTCTGTCTTAATAACAACGTTTCCCAAGGCTTAAATTAAGGGGAAAAACTATCCTAATTCCATATTAAACTACATGTTGTGCTAATAGTTAGCTTACACATTTTTATAGGAGAGTGCATTAACTATTTAAGGATATTAGTATTTTATATTTGAGGATGTACATGAAACAAAATGTTTCTATTTAAAAATGTTGTTTAATTTTTTCCACAGAAATCTCAGCAATAAGACCTTATTGTATGTTAACAAATATTGTTAATTTCCATGGCCAGCTGTACATATGAAAGAGAGAGATTGAAAAAAGATAGATCTGAAAAATTCAACAAGTTAATTATCACTGCCCAGTCAATATGGGCATTAAGAGAAAGAAAAGACATCAGTGAGGTTCTTTTTTGTTTCTTGATTTCTCACATATATTTGATTTTTCCATATATTTCAGTTAAATCTCAGATACTATTTCTTTCACCTATGTAAATAATCTATATAAATAGATATACAGTCCATAGATAATATTTCCTTTCCCATTTACTTTCATTCATTTTGCAGAGTTTTTACCCTTTGCTGTGATGTTTTTTCAGTCATTTCTCAAATACTTCCTAAATTCTGTGGGGGGATTTATTTTCTAAAGAGTACAACTACACAGATTTTCTAGTCTGTCATACTGCTGCGGTGATAGAATTCTTTATAGATCCTTAGCCCACTGTTTCTCAAGAATTTCTCTTTTAATTTTACTTTGTGATTTCCTAGCATTATCTCAGTTCAACAAAATAAGAAACACCAGAGGAAAGTGCTGCATATAATCAATTAATCAGATTTCAGTACATAAAAGACCAAAATATGCTGTCAGATATACATGCATAAATCCAGGTGACTTTAGTAGAGTTACTCATGATTTAATCTTGTGTAACAAAACCTTATTTTTTGTTTTTTGAAAAGAGAGAATATAGCTAATAATGCTTCCTTCTCGGCGTAGCCATAAGCAGGAGTCATTGAACCTCACTACAGCATCATCAAATAACCACTAATACTTGAACTAAAATGGCTTGCTGCTTGAAAGTAATGTGTACTTATAGTTTCTCTTTCCTACTGAATATTTGTCTTTGGCATTCTTGTCAGTAATTTTAGAGTTTAGCAGCAGCTCCTAGCATTATGGATTTGAGTTGTCTAGAGCATATGACTAGGATTGAAAACAAACCACATATGTTAAAAATTTCCTGCTTGATACCGAAGTTGATTAATTAGATTTATCAATGACAGTAACAGACAGTAAGAAGAACTGAATACCAGCTACATGCATTTGTCTGACAAGTATGATTTAATCCCTTTTGTGCTGGGATGCCTGGGCCCAAGCTCTAATTTTAAAGAGAAGTATTGGGAGACTACTAAAATCATGCCACTCAACAGCATTTCAAACTAACCCATCACATCTTGTCTCCTCCAACAGCGTCATAAATGAGATGTGCGAAAGTTGTATCAAGAGAAAACAGCTACCTTACCTCTTTCTCCTGGTCAGAACTAGCTCATTACCTTCCAAAAATCTTTCTCAGCTAACCTTCCCCAGGTGAAGACTCCTGATCACTGCTGGAGCCTCAAAGACCATTTAAACTGAAGTGAAAGACTAGTAGTGTACCAGCTGCTGCTTAATTGATAGCAGGTGGGTAACTACCAAAGTATGAGCCTGTTAATGAGAGTCAACTTCAAGTAAGGTTTGACTCAGCTCAGAGAAGACAGGACAGGAGAAGAGATAAAAGCCCATGACCTGGCAGCCATGTGTTTCCATACTTTGATTATTTATCTTGCTTCCCTACTACGACTGAAAGACAATGACAAACAAAGAGCAAGGATTGAGTGTGAGGGGAAAGAACAGAGCAAAAAACATTCACAAGGGAAGCCAAACAGAACCAGTTCTTAAGCATGACAAAATAATCCCTTCCACTAATAGCTTCAGCTTCCTTAACACCCCTGGACAGGACATCCTTTCCAAGCCTTCCTTTGCCCTAACACAAGCACTGAGCTTTTCTATCTGCCCCATCTTTAACCTGTGAAGAGAGCCCCCACTTGGGGAAGGGCTTGGTCACCACAGCCACCATCAGGGACCACTGCTGCTCACTTCCTCTTTTTCCACCAGAAATTCTCTTTCTGTTCCCCTCTGTCTTACTTCAAACTCGCAAGAGACACTGCTAGTCTACTAGGTGGGAGAAATAATGAATAGCTCTGGCACAGGCTGGGGTAGAACTATACCTCCCATGTCAGCTGCTTCTGAACAAGAGTGTAATTTTGTTTTAAAGACATGTTTCTGTAATATGAATATTCCTAAACACTGCCATAACACTAATACCGAAAAAGACTCATTCAGCTGTGGCCCTGCACAGATGATGGCCACTTGTGAAAAGTTTAATTTAAGTGACTTTCCTCACATCATACAGGAATTCTGGTAGAGACAGGGTTAGAAACCATTTCTTTAAAGTGGGTAACAAAAGATATTTTTTTAACCTTAGGAACTATTCAAACTTCCCGAGATTAACCTAGAAGCGCATATCCAGAACCGAAAATCTTTATCCTGATTGGTCTGAGTTTGGAAAACCTCTGCTGAAAAGAAGTCTTATAAATAAAGTGTATAAGGCCAGCACTATCAGTGCTGACTACAACACTAGACATTTTCTACAATTCTAATGTTATGAGGTCAATTCTACAAACACTTCCCTCTTTATGTATGAAACATCAACAGATATCCATACACTCCTTTTCTACTCTTGCACAGCCAGTGAAATTCTTTGATATTTCAACTATTAACATGTATAAGCACTCCTGAAACAATACTATGTCAAATACACTAAGCAGCAGAGCTCAGTTTACTTCATCCACCCTGCAATGTACTTACTTGAATTTAGGATGAAGGGTTCTCCCCCCGCCACTTAGCCTAGGGGCAAAGCCCCCCGTACTAGATTTGAACGGGGGCCAAGGGGGAAGGCAGCTGCAATCTTTCAGTATCAGATTGTATGCACCCTCCAAAGGGTAAAACCAGAGAGGAAGTAAGTGGGGGGCAGAGTGCAAGGGATCCACCTGGCCCCCGCCTCAGCCACTGTTTTCACTGCTGTAGTAGTGGGAGGGGGATGAATTTAAGACAACCCTCTGATAATTAGATTCTCTACCTAGAAAATTATAACAAATTTATAAGATTCTATATATGGAAAAATAATTATTGAGGGGTTGTCTTAAATTCACATCAGCCAAAAAAACTGATTGCTGATGCTGTCAATTTTCCTTATATCAGTGCCGATCCAATATGGGACTGATGCACCTCTAGTCATTAATTGTACTGTTTAACCCATTCACAATATCAATCTCCCAGATTACTTTCAATAGTCACTGGGAGATGGATGCCAATTCTGGTAGGCTCCCAACCAATCCTATGCAGAATTTGTTAATCTAACCCTTTTCCAGTGTGATGTGCCATTTCTATTTTTTTCTCTTTTCTGCCCTATCAAAAAAGGGCTTGCATAGTTTCTGAATGAAGCCAAGGATACACACAAACTTTCCAATAGCTCATTGCTATAGGTAATTGAAGAGCCCTGTGAAAGCCTACCTCAAAACCACTGAAATCGTAAGCAACAGATAAATCTCTCCTAGTTTAACCATGCATTTGTTTTTCAGTTTAAAATGGAAACTGTATGCAAAATGCAGTAACTGTGAGGTCAAGAGGGAAACTACATTATTTCCTGTGCTGCCTTTCTTTCTTTATCCAATTGCCTACACATAGTTCAGCAAAATCAGAGTGCCTTCTTGCAACAATACTAACTGGAAGTCTGCACGGATTAATCCAGCCCTAGATTAAAGACCGTGTACAGCTGCTAACAACCATTATAAAGAACAATTTTCCAAACCTGTAGTTTTAATCTGATACGCTCATCACTGCTAAGGTAGATTCCACAGCTATAGAGAAGCTGGATTTGCCTTTCATTGCTTTAAATGTGGCTGCAAGACTCACCTGAAATTCCTTTTCCCATAAATGCTTTAATTCCACTTTTTCATTATCCATTTTAAATAAATTAAATTATAGAGTTATGCCCATATCCATCTTAGAAGTAGCTAAAATGTTCAGTATTTGGATCTACAGTTGTGGTTGAGACTATTATAGAAACGGGGCAAATCACAAGGTTCAGTATTCTGTCTAATTTCCCCTAAACCGAGACTGTTCAGATCCCCAGATTCTTGGTGAGGTCCCATTATTATTGTTGCTATTTATGTATCATTTACATACTGTGTTTCACAATCAACAAAATGTAACAGAATCTCTGTTTTACTCAGACAAAAACAATCAAGAGGTAGGATAATGCAGAATATTGTCAGGAAGTGTAAAAAGGCTTCACCAAAGAAACAGATTATAATGAATGCTCTGAAGGGAGAAGGAGGGTACTCTGAACATGTGGCATAGGATCCTGTTCTAAAAATATGGGAGAAGAAACCCAGGAAAGAATGGGAGATAAAGATGCAAGCCATGCCTCTGGTAAGACTTATACACACACTTAACTTTATTCACTGAATAATCCCTTTGAAATCAACTACTGAAAGCACATAAAGTTGCAGAATCAGAAACAGAGGGAGCAATAAGGAGAGAGGATGGAGAATAGCAAGAGGAGGCACTGAATAAGATATAAGGTGAAAAGGAGCAAACAGAGCTATACAAAGGAGCCCTGAAGGTACAAATAAGGAGCATAAACTTCTGTGGTAGTAGACAGAAAGGCAAATGAAAGGATTCAAGGGATGGTGTGAAAACTGATCTTAGTGGTGATGTTTTGATTAAAATGCAGAAGACCACATAAATATACCACAAATGTTAAGAAATTAAATGTGCAAAACTCAAAGTAATTCCTATGTAATACAGCAATATTAGTTTCAACTAATGGAACTTTTACTTATACTTTAAAATGTACATTAAATAAAATAACCAGACATTAATGTGATTACCTGAATGCTGCTATGGGATTACAGGCCAGCATTACCAATTTACAGCAATTGA